AAGGGACCTCGGAGGTCTTCTAGTCCAGCCCCCGTGCTCGATCAGGAGACCCTATACCATTTCAATCAATCAGCATAGAGCTGGAAGGGACCTCGGAGGTCTTCTAGTCCAGCCCCCGTGCTCGATCAGGAGACCCTATACCATTTCAACCAATCAGCATAGAGCTGGAAGGGACCTCGGAGGTCTTCTAGTCCAGCCCCCGTGCTCGATCAGGAGACCCTATACCATTTCAATCAATCAGCATAGAGCTGGAAGGGACCTGGGAGGTCTTCTAGTCCAGCCCCCGTGCTCGATCAGGAGACCCTATACCATTTCAATCAATCAGCATAGAGCTGGAAGGGACCTGGGAGGTCTTCTAGTCCAGCCCCCTGCTCAAGCAGGAGACCCCCATACCATTTCAGACAGCTGCCTGTCCAGTCTCTTCTTAAAAGCCTCTAGTGTTGGAGCATTCGCAGCTTCTGGTGGCAAGCAGTTCCACTGGTTAATTGTTCTCCCTTTTTAGGAAATGTCTCCTTAGCTCTAGGTTGCTTCTCTCCTTGATTCGTTGCAACCGTTCTTCACATGCTTTGGTCTCCAGGCCTTTAATCATCTTCGTGGCTCTTCTCTGATTTTTTTTTTTTTATTTTTTTCCCAAACTCTCAACATCTTTTTTTGTGGCATGCTGAGCAAAATTGGTTGCAGTATTCCAGGTGTGGCCTCACTAGGGTTTTATAAAGCGGCACTAATTGTAGAAGAAGTTGTAAACGCTCCATCCCTGGAGGTTTTTAAGAAGAGACTGGACAGCCACTTGTCTGAAATGCTATAGGGTCTCCTGCTTGAGCAGGGGGTTGGACTAGAAGACCTCCGAGGTCCCTTCCAGCTCTATTCTGATTGATTGATTCCGATTGATTGATGGATTGACTGGTTGACTTTTAGATGCTTGGTACCCGCTTGGCAGTTGAAGGGAAGTGTGGTTAGTAGTGTATTTCTGTAGCCTCTGCTAGTTAGGCATTTGTAAAGACAGCACAGTGTGTAACTCGATTCAGACTAGAGCTTCTTAATTCCAGGTTGCTTCTCTCCTTGGCTAGTTTCCATCCGTTCTTTCTTGTCTTGTCTTCCGGTGCTTTGGAAAATAGCTTGACTCCCTCTTCTTTGGGGCAGCCCCTCAAATACTGGAAGACTGCTATCAGGTCCCCCCTAACCCTTCTTTTCTCTAGACTGGCCATTCCCAAATCCTGCAACCTTTGTTCTTCCTCAGTATGTTTTAGTCCCCAGGCCTTTAATCGTCTTAGTTGCTCTTCTCTGCACTTTGGGGGGGGGGGGGGGAGCTATTGGTTGACAGGGGTTGCCCCAAAGAAGAGGGAGTCAAGCTATTCTCCAAAGCGCCTGAAGGCAGGACAAGAAGCAACGGATGGAAACTCATCAAGGAGAGAAGCAACCTAGAACTAAGGAGAAACTTCCTGACAGCGAGGACAATTAACCAGTGGAACCACCTGCCTCCAGAAGCGGTGAATGCTCCAACACTGGAAGTTTTTAAGAAGAAACTGGACAGCCATTTGTCTGAAATGGTGTAGGGTTTCCTGCCTGAGCAGGGGGTTGGACTAGATAACCTCCAAGGTACCTTCCAACTTTATTATTATTATTATTATGATGATGATGATGATGATGATGATGATGATGATGATGATGATGATGATGATGAAGAGACTGGACAGCCATTTGTCCGAAATGGTATAGGGGTTTCCTGCCTGAGCAGGGGGTTGGACTAGAAGACCTCCAAGGTCCCTTCAAACTTTACTATTATTATTATTATTATTATTATTATTATTATTATTATTATTATTATTATTATTATTATTATTATTATTATTATGAAGAGACTGGACAGCCATTTGTCCGAAATGGTATAGGGTTTCCTGCCTGAGCAGGGGGTTGGACTAGATGACCTTCAAGG